TGGAGTGCTAATATGATAGCTGAAAAAGCAAGGGTTAATTCGTATGGGACGACAATGGCGTTATACACATCATCAAAGTGCGTAATAACAATGGCTCTTGTTAGGAGTGGTGGTCAATTTGGGAGGAGGGAGTAACAATAAACACCGCTAAAGTGAGAAAATATTCGTTTGTGTAGCTGGGAGTACTTTATCCTGTGCAAACAAGCTCAGCTGCTAATGAAGTTCCCCAGTCGTAGACTAACTGTGTGTACGAGTATGTACAAATATGTACATTTGAGTGCATATAGTATACTTAGAATATGTGGTGGTTTGTTTTTATAACTGAACGCAAACCGTTGCACAGAGTATATTGACTTTGTTTGTTTAACGGTCACATAATTTTTTCATCTGCAAAAATGCTACTACCGGTTTCTCCCTAAAATGAAGAAATTCTTTTACATCTGAATTAATATTAGATGAAATCATTGTTGTTGTAAACTAATATTGGGGAAATTCGGAAGACATGTTTTATATTACTGCAGAGAGCTGTTCAGGCAGATTGGAATTTCATTTGGTTCTCTGTTAAACATGTATGACTTAGCGAGTACTAAAAGATGCTCCAGTCTCTCCAGAGTTACGCCTGGTCACCTTATAACTACGCTCGTCCCAGTGTTAGCTCAACGGACGTAGAGTTAATATCAGTGCGCCATTAATTCCTTCTTTTCCCTGCTGGCGCCAACTAAAAATAGCAAGTACAGTTACGAACTTCTCCATCTGCCATTTCTAATGGAGTGGATGCCATCCTCTGCTTCTGCTTTCACCCTCAGACACAGCTTCGAAGACTTTTAAGAGCACTTTTCATTTCAATTGCCTACCAAGTTAAAGTAGTACCTGTTGGCAAGAGTGATTCTGCGTTAGATTTCGTGATTCTATCTCCACTATGGCACGGCAAACCTGATTATACCAGCTGTTATTTTGATCTTTACGCATTCCAATAGTTTAGTTTGCATCGCCCCGAAGGGAGCTTGTAATGCCGTCTCCCAGTTCCCTGATACTGCTGATGAGTGTTCCCAGAGAGTGGCAGTGTAAATGACGTCGATCCGTTCTTGTGTTTATTGATGGTCGTTCTTTGCTGCACAAAGGAGCTGGGAATATTTGCTGGAACAAGATATTGATACGAGTCGATGTTGGGTCTTCGGAGCATACTTCTTCTTCCTTATAGTCGTTGGCACCGCTTACATGATTATAGCCGATCCAATATTAGCGCGCCGTTCCTCTTTTCTTTTCGCTATCTGGCGCCAGTTGGAAATACCAAGTGATGTCCTGATCATTCCAACGGAGTAGAGATCTTCCTCTTCCACTGCTTCCAGCAGCGGGTACTGCATCGAAAATTTTCAAAGCTGAAGTGCATTCATCACTTCGGACGATATGACCTAGCCAGCGTAGCTGCTGTCCCTTCATTCATTGAACAATGTCAATATCATCGTATTGCCCGTACAGCTCACGGTGCTATGTGCGCAAATGACAATACATCATTTGCAAAACTTTTCTCTCAAAGACTACTAGAGATGTTGACATCGTCCAGACGACGGGTGCATACGTTCGCCAATAATACTGAAGACATGTCGTCCGTTTATAACAACTTTATCAATCTGGTTGTGAAGACAGCCTAGTAGCTTTCTGAGTTTTTCTGGACTGTAGTCTGGTACTACGGATAATTAAATTACGCGACTTAGCGAAGTCGAAAAACTTCAATCTATTTGGGAATATTCCTGAATTTTTTGACCTTTGTGTCGAAGATTCCTTCCTTGCTTTCGCTGAGGTTAATATTGCCAAGCACAATTTTGTCAACGCGGTGAGGTTAGTGCTCATGAGTACACTCCCGATGCTCATGAAAAGCTTTCTTGATCGCATCGTCTGGGGTGAATGTCATGTATCCGTCCTGCTCCATCTATCAAACTTATGGACGGCGGTGATATCAGCCTATATTTTTAAGAGGACATCAACCAGCTGGGCAGCGGCACCTACCCAATTAAGGGATCGGGCGATATGTAGCGTGCCGCTTGTTTCAAGACCAACGCCCGCTAGCAGCCGCACATCCGGCGAACATAATGCTACAATTAAAATTCAGCGTACCATTCGAAGCCACTAAAGCTTCATTTTATTTTACCCCATCTTGCACCTGAGTTTCTGATTGCATGAATTTACACTTGAAAAACGCTAGACTAGTCTAGAAGCCTGGACTAGAGGCTGATTGTGAGTTCTTGAACTAACGCCATGCGCACAAATGGCATCTACAACTACTTTACTTGCATGAGGAAGGGCAAATGACAGAGAATCGGATGATCTTGCAACAACTAAATGAAATGCTTCCGATCCAGTATGGGTCACAGCGGTTCTCATTTTATTTGTAGAACTTTGTTCAACTTTCCACAACTGAGACTCATGCAGTTGGGCTTGGAATTGGTTTTGATTGTCACTGCATCTGGCGGCATAGGGTATGGATACACACACCACAAATCATAGGAAGAGCTTGAGCAAAAATCAAATCCGCCAGTGGACTGGCGGTGCCTTACTTCCATCTTATTCATGTCAATGCATCTTTAAGTGGGCTGATGTGGTTGTGTGTTTGTGTGACTCTGTGTAATGTGGTAATGATAGCTTTGGGTTACAACATCAGCAAACATATCATCACTTTAGTCGGTCGTTTGTTCCATCGGTCAGTCTATAAATGCAACATTAGTGCCAGACGCACACACGCAAGCACACTCACACACGCTTACACTCACATACATAGATTTATATACCATATATCAGCAATATGTACTGCCATGTATGCAAATAGAGCTTAATATTTTGTGCTATATATATACACACATACTCGTATATGTAAACATGTATGTATATTAAGCATATTGTCTTTGGTGGTGTGCGTACACACACATGCACTCTTGGCTCTACACAAATATTGTGGCTATGTTTGCTTGTCTGGCAGCAGTTTGCATTCGGCGTCGCTCTAATCGGCTTCAGCTGCAAATAGTTGCCACAATGTATCGATCTGTTGCTCAGCATCACATAAAGCACACAACACACACGATGGCATACACACAAGTGGTGGACATTTGGACGAACGGCACATCTCATATTAATTGGTCCTCATCGATGTCTGGGTCATTTATTGTGTCTTCCGCTCGCACTGGCAAGCTTCTATCTCCAATCGATCGGCCTGCTTATTGTTTTCAGTTTATGTACTTGTTTATGGGCTTGTTGCTCAATTTGTAAATATATATGTATCCCACATGTATTTTGTTTTCTGCTCAAGTAAATGGTGAATGAAAATAGCTGGCAGTTGTCAGCTTCACTTTGCTCAAACGCACTTTTTTACGATAAGGAAAAAAAATAAAAAATAAAAACACAAGGCACGCTTGGTTGCTCAGTCACGCAGACATGGTAAGGCAGGTCAAGCGGTTATCATGGCAGCTCTAATCGACTCGGGTGACATGCTTAAATGTTCTATGTTCTAATTAAGATTTCAACAGTTGAGAATGGGTAAACAAACAAAGGAGTCTTGATTTTTATTTTTTATACTTTATTTATTTTTTTGTTTTTTATTACTGGGGAGAGATGATGATGAAAGCAAACAAAAATTCAAAGGTTATGGTGAGCATAAATATAATGATTATTTAGGTATTTCATGTGTTAAAAAATTTCAATTACGTATTTATTTATTATTCTTTTCATTGCGTTCTTCTCAATCTACTTGGGCCCTGTTTACGTGATTACAGCAAATTTAAGAATGTCGTTGCTTCCCTTCGCTGTTTGGCGCCAATTGGATGTTCTATGTTAAATTAGATCGCTTACTATCTGATCCTTGCAGTTCCATCTTGCTCTGCTCTTACCTGATCCTTCCAGCTCCATATCCCGCTGTGTTAGCGGCCAACAGTCTAATTTAGCTACTGCTGTGAGGTTCCTATATCCAATAAACAGTGGTCTTTTGTTACACCTGTCATTTTGGTAATGGCTAACCGGTTTAAATGGACACTCATATCCGTCTGGTCGCGTTGCACGAGTTCTTATTCAGTCAGCCAATGTACCAATTTTTTAGAAAAAGGCCAGCTACAGCATACGCTTTCACGACCGTATCAGTACAGCAGGATTCCTCCTCTCATTGATTCTGTGTTCAGGTAACCAGATACCCAGACCACATTATACATTTGCTATTAACTTTTGATGGTGCAATAGGGAGCATTGAGAGCACTTTGCCATAAAAATACTGACCGTCGCTACGGTTGATCACTGAACGCGAAAGTTTGTGCTTTCCCATTCGTTCCTGTTTATGCTTATGGAATTTGTTTCTTCTTCGCCGCTATATTCAAATGACCCAGCCGATAAACCACCGCTTTGTTGCTCCTTGAGCGGACAATTGCTGCCAGAATTTCTTTACAGGAGAGAACTTCCATGTCCCAAGTGAATATGCCCCGGTGCTTCTGTGCGACTTTCTCACGCTTTTCGGTCTCTATTTTGCGCCGTGCTTTTCCGTTCAGATTTCGGAGTCTATAACAACGCGCATGCTTTTAATTGAACTTCTGCAGCTCGGCACTGCTCACCGTACCAGCTCTTCTTTTGTACATGGCGAAAATTTATTGTTTTGTGGCGGTATGTAGGGAGCTTGTTCCCGTGAAAGGCGCATTCTAGGCATTTATAGAAAGCATCTTTGGTCACGTCATCATTATCTACCGTCGAATCATGTACGCAAATCAGCGACGCTGTAAAAGTTTTCTCAAGTTTCCACCTACTTGTGACCTTATCCCGTCTATTACACATCTTGGTGACTAGGTTTCTTATAATTCGTGGTTTGAAGAATTTTTTGAATAAAATTTTGAAATAAATAAACCTTCTTGAAACTGAATATTACCCGGCTTTCTAGCTTACATTTTACAATATCGCCTATGTCCCATTAAAATTTAAAAGAAATTATTTTTTTTTATATTTTTTTTTATTAATATTTTTAATCATGATTTTTTAATTAAGCTAAAACTCTAAAGCATGAAAACTTAAAATTATACTTAAGTGATATTCGGAACTAAAAAATGACGCACTGCTCTTCCTGTTTCTGCTGACTCTCATCAGGACATTTAAACACATTTGCAAACTCTTTCAAATTCGCCACAGCACCATTGACTCTCAACATCTCTGGCAGTTCCTTAAACTCTGCCAAGTGAGCGGTATAATCCACACAAAAGAGCTGCGCGTAAGAGAGGAAAAACTGCTGCATATGCGTAGCGGGCAGACGGGGTAACACATCGATATCAAGTTCACTCTTGCCACGGGACCACTTCTCATACAAGCGGTAAGCAATGGAGAGGCCACCATTATCCATAAGGGCTGTCTTCAAACGCTCACGATCGGTTATGTTTCTACCATACAACTCCCTCGTCGCATAATGCGTTTGTTTGGCATAACAACTGGAGCGTTTTACAAATGCCAATTCGGATGGTATATCCCACACTTTGCGCTCGGTGGCATCGCTGGCGTATTCACTGAGGCCGCGTACGATTTGTTGCGCTAAGAGGAAGCTGAAAGTGCCATACTTGATAGCCGCTGGATAGGTGGGATCCCAGAAGAAGCGGCTTTGCAGAAAGACCACAGGCAATTGTATGGTATTCGTTTGTGCATTGTAGGCGGGCAACAATTTCTGTACGTAAGTCGGTGTGGCTTGCGGCACGTTGAGCAACGCTGCGGCTTGATGTAGTTTGAGCAGCTCTTTCTCATTTTGCCATTCCAGTATGTTGATTATATTACTAATGTACCGATCGGCTTGCATCTCGCCGGGTTTTATGCCGCCTTGGAAGAAACCAATGTGCTCTTGTGGCTGTAGCGCTTCCAAGCGCATAGAACGCAATTTCTCACGCAAGTTTAGCAAAGTTTTCGGTGATATCCAACTAAAACGCGGTGAGGTTTGCAACTCATCGTAGAGATTATATTTGATATTGTGGAAAATTGTCTGCACCCCCTGGAAAAGTTCGGTGTCCTCGTAGTTGCGTTTGAAGAAATATTCCATTTCGTATGGGAAAAAGTGTATGAGCCTACGCGCGCAATACTCCTTGCTACCGCCCAAATCAAACTGATCCAAAACTTTCCATAACGTATAATTGGCCAGCGTTAGTTTGGGTGTGAGTCTGATGACCTCCACCAGGTTTCTGAAATAACCCTTGGGCGTTTCGTACACCTTCTCGTTAACCGGTCGATCAAACATTAATTGTAGATATCGACCCAAGTCTACAAAGCTACCGTAAGAGACCTTCAGCTCTGCCACATAACGGTCGAGCGGTGTTAGGTCATTCGTTGTGTTTGGTAAAGCTTTGCCCAATTGCGCCTCGACCTGTAGCACCTGTGAGGCGAATTCCTCAGACCAAGCATGGCTCATTTCGGGAAAGAATTTTCGCAATTTCTCAACTATGTGCTGCTCATACTGTTCACGGTCGTCCGATGGCAAAACTGGTGCACCGAATTGTATGCGACTTTTGTCGGGATATTGCAGATCTCTCACAACCCCGAAGGCTATGAACACATCCACATTGAATTTTCTTTTTGCCAACACCACCAGCTTTAGCCAATCATATTCGTTTTCGAACCACTCGTTATCCATTATAAGCGGCCAGCCTGTACGGAAGTCTAGCTCATCCCATATGGACGCAAAGCCTACGTCTTTGATGGTCATAGTATCGGTGCAGGAATCGAAAACGGTTTGTAGTAAATGATTTAGGTATTTATCTGCTCCATTGCTGTTGCTGTCATTTTCCTCTAGGGAGTCCTGCAGTGCAGCCGCACATTTGCTTACGTACAAATCCTCTAAAAGTCCAATAAATGAAGTTTTCGGTTTGTCTGTCCCTGCTGGATGGTTGTACGCCCAGTTGCCACATGCCCAATGATAGAAGTCTTCACATGGATTTGCATTCACTTTCATATATGCGGACATTTGTATGCCACGCGACAGTTGCAGCGTTGCATTGCTGTATTGCGGCACTGTTGGCTTGGCATGTGCGCTACCTTTAAAAGCTTGTAGCAGCAATAGTGTCAGTAACGATTTAAAAACTTTATACATTTTATTTTTTGATTCGAATGGCATCAACATTCTGCCACGCGCGCTCGAAAACTTGCTGTTGAAGTTATCGCCAGCGAGACTTGAGAGAAACTAAAACTATTTCACGATGCTTAGCTTTGTGGTGCGCTCATCCGTTCGGAATGTATGTGGGTACACTCAAGTCTGAGAAAATAGCATAACTGGTGCCAATCGCTGATAATCGTGCATAAAAATGGAACATAATTTTTGAGTTTAGAACTTGAAAAACGACTGCAGCAAACTAGAAACTATCTTCTGCCAGTTTGTTGGTAAGACGAGAGTTCCCATAGATTTTAATTCCAGATGATTTGACTTCCAGATGATTTTGCCTGCAGATGATTTTACCTGTAGATGATTTTACCTACAGATGATTTTACCTGCAGATGTACTTAGGTCTTTAGAAAATTAGGTAGGATTTGACTAGCCGTTGAATAAATACCAATTTTATCATAATTTAATTTAATAAACTGTCTCTCCTTAAAAATAAAAAAACACTCTTTGGTTTACTAAAAAATCAGCAGCAGCAAGAGATACCGTGATTTCTCTCTGCTTTTTTATACCGTTCAAATGTAGGCCTATTTTACAGAATTAATTTCTTATCTCTCTCACAGTGAACTTAAAAAGCAATAAAATAATAATAACAATAATAATGTTTCAATAATAAATTATGGTAAATAGAAGTCTGTTTACTGTGACGTAAATTAAGCCAGCGCCAACAGCGTTGGAATTTTAGTGAGTACTACTTAGTGACCGTCTGACCTTGTGGCAAGAATTGCTGATGCAGTACGTCATTAAAGTCAGAGAGTATAGTGAGCGCGACCTTCACGTACGATCACACTTGTTGAGCTTTTTTCAGTCTTGTTGAGCGAGAATGCCTGCACTGCAATGATTGGGCCTTTCTTTCAACGTTGCACCCGTAAGCTTAAGTTTCGTCGCTGGTAAAATTACGTGTCAATAACTGTGCATCGTCGTTGACCTCTGTAAGTAAATCCGTAGAAACTTCCAATCAAGCATTTGGGAAAATGTTATCCATACGCCAACAACTTTACCGACTTTCGGTCATCATTCATAAGTACTTCTTTTACACTTTCATCGGTTTTTGATGGCTCGTCAAGGGCGTCAAGGGCGTCGATGACCTTTGCCTTCTTCTTTAACTTCTTCACTACATTACTGAAAATCGAATTAAGTGGAAAAATATGAGGGTTGCAAAAATATGAGTGGAAAAATCAAGCAAAGGATATTAATCTAAAAGATGCTTAACGGTGTCGAAGGCCAATTGTTGAAAAAGCGTTGAGTCTGACCATCGTGCGAGCAAATTGCCCAACAGTTAAGCATTGCACCTAAAATAGTTTGGAACCCACATGAGTTAACAAATAGCTGTGGAATCGTATCAAAATCAAGGCAAGGATGGTAACTGGCTTTGAAAAGTGGATCACCTACAGCAAGAACAAATGGAAGCGGTTGTGGTCGAAAGGCGGTGAGTCGGCACAAGTGGTCTGTGAGCCAGGATTGATGGTAGGGATGGTTGTTGTGTGTTTGGTTCCATTGATAAGGAATCATCCACAATGAGCTGCTTTTATACGTCCGAGTTCTTTATTCGGACTTGTAATGTCAGCTACTGAACCGCTTGAAGGGAGCAATCGCTTGGAAGCATGCAGATTTGACCAACAGTGGGGAAGTGTGCTTCATTAAGACAGCACCAGACCAAACACATCGATAGTAACTCGCCAGAAGTTCAGAAGAAAGAAAGAGGTATTATGACATTCCCTTCAGAATGGAATCAAAGTTATCGAGCAAAACGGCGCACAAATGCAAATCTAATATATACAGTATGAAAGGAATTTTTATGTAACAAAGGGTGATTTTTTAGCTATTATCTTTTTAGCAACACTAGTTTAGACAGCTGACGCACGTTTCGTGTTTTGTATCACTGCCAAACATCTTCAGTTTGGTCTATAATTTCATAATGAATTGTCTTACAAACGAACAACGCCTGCAAATTATTGAATTTTACGATCAAAATGCGTGCAAAGTCACAGTTTGGTGCGGTTTATGGGCTGGTGGCAACATTGGACCGTACTTCTTCAAAGATGATGCAAATCGCAATGTAACTGTGAATGTTGAACTCTACCGTGAGATGATATCAAACTTTTTTTCCCAAAATGCCAGAGCTTGATCCGCATGACATGTGGTTTCAACAAGACAGTGCCACATGCCACACAGCATGCGTAACAATGGACTTATTGAGAGGCGAGTTCGGTGAACATTTTATTTCACATTCGGAACCGGTCAATTGGCCGCCTAGATCGTGCGATTTAACGCCTTTAGACTATTTCTTGTGTGGCTATGTTAAATTTAATGTCTATACAGACAAGCCCACTTCCACTGACGCATTGGAGGACAACACTGAAGCATTTATTTCGTAGATACCTGCCGAAATGTTGGTAAGAGTATGCCAGAAGTGAACTAAGCGTATGGACCATTTGAGGCGCAGTCACGCTCAACATTTGCATGAAATAATTTGCAAACTTTAAATAATATGAACCGTTCTATCGATTCAAATAAAGATTTAATGCATTTTTCCTGAATTTATTGTGTTTTTTTTTTCGAAAAAGTTTCTTATAGCTCTTAAAATATCACCCTTTATAACCACATATGAATTTAAAACCTCTAGGTAACACTTTTCGCTTCGTTTTACATTTAACCAAAAAAGAAAACATGTTGCTTTTGGTCTCAAGTGTCGCATAAACATTGGTCTTTATGCCTTTCATCTGCATATTTGGTTGCATAAATAATTGCAGTATATGTACATATGCACAATGTATGTGTGTATGTATGAACGAGCATCTTTATGCTTCTTAACAAACAGCTTTGGCGATGCCATAGAGTATAATGGAAAATCCATATATGTGCATATTATGTATGACACTTTGTTGTTGCAAAGTAATGTCAGTGCAGCAGCCGCCATGCAAGCCCAAGTGCAACAGTGGGTATGTCATGTGGCAAGGTGTTTGTAAGTTTTGTAGAGGAATTCTTATAAACTTTACGAAGTTAATATTAAAGTAACGTGTATGTATGTATATGTGTGTGAGTGTGTGTACGTGTATGGAAAGTTAAAAACTTCTGTCTGCAGCACTTTTAACCCATACTTTGTTCATTTAACTTTTTTTTGCTGTCTCTTATTCCGTCTCTTGTTGTTGTTGTTGTTGTTGTTATTATTATTATGATTATTGTTGTTGTTGTTGTTGTTCACGTTTTTGACTGTCTGTTGCATAAATGCACATTTCAAGCGCAACACACTTGCGCTTAATGCTTATAGCCAAGTGTCGTCTCGCGTTGTTAAGTACTTTTTGTGTGTGTTTTCTGTCTTTTTATGTATGTGTGTTTGTATGTACATATGTCTCAACGTAATGCACAAAAACAAAGATACCAAACAATTTGCATTTTTTAAGTACTACTACATACCTCACATAAGTTTGTATGTATGTATGTATGTATGTATGCACATTTGATATAAGGAACTGAAGCTTTAAAATGTGTTTGCTGCTTAGCAGACCGACGGTAATGGCAAATTGCTCCAAAAAGAAAAAGGCGTAGTCCAAACATTAGACGGGACAGATTATCCCTTTCCCACTGTTCGGCGCCACTGTTGTATTCAGCTTTCATTTGTTGCTCTGTCAAATGCTCTTCGTGCTTTTAATAAGCGGCCGCAAAGCGACTCGCCTGGAATCTCATTAAGCACATCTGGGAATATTTTGTGTATTTTTTCTCGGTTGCTTTCTGTCATTTTGACGCAACTAAGTGTGAAAATTATACAGAGATTGAAATTATTTTTTATAAAAAATATTTAAGCATAAACTTTAAGCGCTTCAAGCGCTGAAATTTTCAATGTAAGAAAATTAGAAATTTGCGTAGAAATAAAATATTTGCAGAAGGATTCGCTAACTTTTATTGTTGGGATTTTTGAATTCTTAATAACGAATTTCAGCGACTCACTAAAATTTTTTTAAGGATATTCTCTGTTTAATAATCAGGAAAGTAGGTGGCTTCAGGGCATAACAAGACGTCAAAATAATGCCACATCCCAAGTGGCAACTAATACAGTAAAGTCCTATACCTCTAAGCAGGCAGCGACACTTAGCTCAACCCAGCCCTCTCAAAGGGTACACTCGTACATTAAAAGTAGCAGAGAAACGTTATTGCTGCACACAGCTCAAAGGAAAAATTATACGATCACTCATAGGTTCCCAAAAAACGTTTGTACCCTCTCGAATACAAAGGTTCCTTAATCTACCGACTACGACGACCCAATACAAAATATTTGAATTGGCGAACAACCAGGGATAGACACTAATTAATCATGCACTCTCACAATATTCTCGTCGAATCTCCAGAAAAACAAGCGCAACTCCCGCTATAATACTCCCACAAATAGTGCACACTCTACGGCCAATAAAGCATTTGGATCCCAAAAAACTGCTGCTCACTACCTTTGGTAGATCCTAATTGCTTCTCATTCACCAAAATTGATAGGGTGATTAGCAGCAGCATACTACCTCAAATGCTCATCCCAGGCTTTAGGAGCTGCGGCCCATTAGAACAAGAAAATCTTTAAGTTTGTGCAGATTACTCTTAAGCTCAATCTCCTCATAACTTGGATTCCAATTTTCGACCCGGAACAACGGCCTTCGCCCAAGATGAACTTATTAAACTCCATTATTCAGCAGCGCCGAATGGGAGAAAAAGACCCCAACAATACTCTCAAACCCAACATTTACCTTAACAAGATGTGTTTCCAGAAAGATTCTCGAAATAAAAAGAGGTTTTCTCAAAATATGTCTCACCTCTGAGACCGAAACTATGTCACGCTCCTGTTGCTATATCTCGACAAAGCAGAAGGTCATTACCCTCGAGGAAAAGGTCTTACTCTCTAGACTAAAACTCTTCTGAAAAAAGGTCAGTCCACCAAACCGAGAAAGCTAAGGATAAAGATGAACATCGCAGATACAACAGAGCAAAAAAAACTCTACACTACAGACTCTCAACTGAA